GCTTGTGGGTGATAGGGAGTCGTGACCTTGTGAGTAACACCATACTTGCTAAGTAAAATGTCACACACTTTGTTGCAAAAGTGTGACCCCCCATCGCTTATGATTGCACGTGGAATACCAAATCTTGTGAAAATATTCTTCTTCAAGAAAGCCACCACACTTCTCGCCTCATTGTTGGGTAAAGAGACGACCTCAACCTATTTGGACATATAATCCACCGCGACCAAGATGTAGGTATTTTCACAAGAGCTCACAAAAGGACCCATGAAGTCAATGCCCCAAACATCAAAAATATCAATATCTAAAATGGTTGTGAGAGGCATTTCATTTTTCTTTGAGATTCCACTGGCCCGTTGACATTCATCACATCTTTTCACCAACTCACTAGCATCCTTATAAAGAGTAGGCCAATAAAAACCACAACTAAACGCTTTGGCCGTCGTTCTTTCTCCACCATGATGACCACCATATGGAGAAGAATGACAAGCCCTAAAAATAGCACCTTGCTCTTCTTCCGTTACACACCTCCTAATCACCCCATCCATACAAATCCGGAAAAGGAATGGTTCATCCTACTAAAAATCTTGACCATCTCTTTTTAAGCTTCTTTCTTTGGTTTGAAGAGAACTCATCCAGAATGATTCCACACACAAGAAAATTTGCCAAGTCCGCGAACCATGGCACCTATTTCATTGAAATTGCCAGAAGTTGCTCATCGGGGAAGGAGTCATTGATTTCAAGGCCATCATGCGGCCTCCCCTCCTTCTCTAAACGAGACAAGTGGTCCGCCACTTGGTTTTCACTACCGTTTCTATCTTGGATGTCAATATAAAATTCTTGCAACAAGAGTACCCATCTCATCAACCGAGCTTTGGAGTCCTTTTTGCTCATAAGATAACGAAGCGCTGTATGGTCCGTGTGGACAATAACTTTGGCACCCATCAACTATGGGCGGAACTTCCGAATTGCAAACAGAATAGCAATGAGCTTTTTCTCCATAATGGAATTGTTGACTTGGGCACTATTCATAGTCTTACTAGAATAGTAGACCGTATGAAAAATTGTTTTGATACGTTACCCCAAAACATCCCCAACCACTATGTCACTTGCATCACACATGAGTTCAAAAGGCACACTCCAATTTGGAGCGGTAATGATGGGAATAGTTGTCAACTTGAGCTTCAACAATTCAAAATCTCTCATGCAATTATCATTGAAATTGAATTTTGCATCCTTCTCAAGGAGTTTGCACAACGGGTTCACCACTTTAGAGAAATCTTTGATAAAGCGCCGGTAAAAACCCGCATAGCCTAGGAAACTCCGTACACCCTTCACCGAAGTTGGGGGTGGAAGCTTATAAATCACCTCAATCTTTGCCTTGTCAACCTCAATTCCATTCCTTGAGATTTTATGGCCAAGGACAATACCTTCCTCTACCATGAAATGGCATTTCTCCTATTTGAGTACCAAGTTGGTTTCTTCACATCTAGCCAACACTTTGTCAATATTTACAGGACAATAATCAAAAGAATCCCCAACCACCGATAAGTCATCCATGAAAACTCAAAGGTAGTCCTCCACCATGTCCGTAAAAATAACCATCATACACCGTTGAAAAGTCGTTGGTGCATTACACAAACCAAATAACATCCGCTTGAAAGCAAAAGTTCCATAGGGACATGTAAAGGTTGTTTTCTATTGATCTTCCAAGGCAATGAGAATTTTGTTGTAGCCCGAACACCCATCAAGAAAGTAATAGAAAGCACGACCGACTAATCTATACACACCCTCTAACCGGTCATCGTTCTTGTAGGAATTAATTCATTCTTACAATTGGTGACCACCGTCACGCTCCCTTATTTGGGACACATTCAACCGGATAGGTCCATGAACTATCAGAGATGGGGTATACAACCACGACATCCAACCACTTGATAATCTCCTTCTTGAAAACTTTTTGCATAGCCTCATTGAGTCTTCTTTGATGTTCAATGGACGGTTTAGCACCATCTTCCAACTTGATCTTATGCATGCAAAAGGCGAGGCTTATACCCCAAATTCTGCCAAGGTCCACCCAATAGCCTTCTTCCTCTTTTGTAACACCGCTAATGTGGAATCTACCTGCACGTTAGTCAAACAAGAGGAAAGAATAACCGGTAAAGTAGAACAAGGGCCAAGAAATTCATACCGAAGGTGTGGAGGCAATGGCTTCAAGTCCAAGGTAGTCGTCTCTTCAATAGAAGGCTTTGTAGGAGGAGTCTTCCTATTTTCAAGATCCAAAGATAATTTCCGGGGTGTATAGTTGTACGATCCCATTCCTTACAAAGAGTTCACTTATTCCATGAAATCATCCATCTCGTCATCATAAAGGTTTAGCAAGACGGCCTCCAACATATCACCAATATTGATAGTAGCACTTGTGTCATCAACAATAATATCGGTTACCAAATCCACAAAAGAACACACCTCATTGCTATTTGATTGTCGCGTGGACTTACTCACATGGAATACCATTTTTTTATCATCAACCCGGAAAGTGAGTTCTACGGATTCAACATCACAAAGAGCCTTACCCGTAGCAAGGAAAGGCCTTCCAAGAATAATTGGCACTTCATAATCGATTTCACAATCTAGAATGACAAACTTCGTCGGAAGAATGAATTTATCAACTCGAACCAAAACATCTTCAATCACACCCAACGATCTTTTCATGGTACGGTCAGCCATTTGCAATCTCATAGAAGTGGGTCTTGGTTTTTCAATCCCCAAAGTCTTGAAAATCGAGTAGGGCATCAAATTTATACTTGCCCCAAGATCACAAAGAGCTTTAGCAAACTCGGCACTTCCAATTGTACAAGGAATCGTGAAAGCACCGGGATCCTCCAACTTAGGAGCCATTGAATGAATAAATGCACTCACTTGATGAGTGACTTTGATAGTCTCAAAATTCATCGACCTCTTCTTTGTCATAAGATCTTTCATAAACTTTGCATAACCGGGGCATTTGTTCCAAAACTTCTACCAAAGACACATTGATTGAGAGACTCTTCATCATTTGAATGAACTTCTTGAATTGATTCTTGCCATTTTGCTTGGCAAGTCTTTGAGGGTATGAAGGTGGAGGCTTAGGCAATGGTGCCTTTGCCTTTTGCACTACCGGTTCCGATATGTCAATGATATGTTTCCTAGACGGGTTCACCTCCTCTTGAGTTTCTTCCACACTATCATCAATATCAATCCGATCTTCCTTATTTGGTTGAACATTGTTTGGGATCTCTTCTTCTTGCATTACTTGATCATCATCAACAAGTCGCCTTCCACTTGAGATGGGTGCATTCCCGCCTCTTCCACTTCTTGTGATAACCGCCATAGCATGCCCCATATTGTTACCACCCTTTGGGTTTACTACCGTGTCACTTGGTAGTGCACCCTTAGAATGAGAATTTAGCGCTTGAAAGATTTTTCCCATTTGAACTTCAAGATTGCAGATTGATGTGTTGTGAGAGGTAAGTCGGGCATACGAATCGGCACTCTTTTCCATCATTTGCTGGAACATATTCTCAATATGTCCCATCTCATTGTTTGAAGAACTTGAACCATGGGAAGGATAAGGAGGTGGGTTTCTCGGTTGTTGATACAATGGAGGCCTTTGAAAACCCGACCCCTGGTTGTCTTTATTGTTACCCCAACCACCTTGGTTGTTGCCTCCCCAATTTTCTTGGTTGTTTCCACTCAAATTTCCTTGATTGTTAGAGCTCCAATTGTCATGATTGTTTTGTGGTCGCCATTGTTGTTGGCTTGGGCCTTGGAAGTTGTTTCTTTGCCCTTTAAAATTGTTCACATATTGTACTTCCTCCTCTTGCTCATTATAAGAATCATCATGATCAAAACCGACATCATCTTGCACATAGTTCTCACTCGAGTTTGCACTTGTGGACCCTTAGTCCTCTTCTTGTTCACCAAAACATTCACTCCCTCCATAGCATGAACTTGCTTAGGGGCTTGCACTTGATTTAGTTGAGCATTTGCTAGTTGAATCATGGTAGTGGTCAATTCAGCAATGGCTTTCCCATGGTCTTGCAATTCTTTGTGGAGGTGGATCATATTCAGATCACCTTGTGGGATATTGGCCCGGGATTGCCAAGCCGATGACGTCTTCGCCATCTCATCTAGAATGCCACACGCCTCCGCATAAGGCGTAGTCATAAAGTTTTCACCGGCTAATTGATTCACTATACATTGGTTGGTTGTGTTAATCCCACGATAAAATATTTGTTGTAACATGTTTTTCTCCATATCGTTGTTGGGACATTCCTTAACCACTATTCTATAACGCTCCCAAATTTCGTGTAGTGATTTATTCGGCTCTTGTTTGAATGCCAAGATCTCGTATCAAAGTGTAACCATGTGCCCGGGAGAGAAACTTAGCAATGAACTTGGCCGCCAACTCATTCCAAGTGTGAATTGAATGGTTTACCAATCGTTCCAACCAATCTAAAGCTTTCCCCTATAGAGATAAGGAAAAAGCCTTAGCCTCAATGCATCCTTAGAAACATTATTTTGCTTGCTCCCCCAACATGTATCCTCAAAGCTCTTCAAATGTTTGTAAGCATTTTGAGTTGGAACACTGATAAATAGTTGATACGAGCTCAAGTCGGATTTTTCCTATCTCTAGTCCAAACCCTTTAATTAGGCTAGTCAAATCCTTAACTAGGCCAATTTCTTGTTAACCAAGCTTTCCTGGACTAGGTCCCTCTTTCTCAAGTTAAGACCAAGTCAAAAAGATATGAATCAATGTTTGCAACCATTAATTCTAAAATTAAAGCATGAACAAGGCTAAATAATAAACACTCAATCATAAACAAACATTAAATTAAATACCCATAAAGTCTATACACTAGGGTTGGGTCAGAACCCTAGTAAAAATCTAGCTACTTATAGTAGAAAACGAAGAAAAAGAAGAAAAAAACACTAATTAAAACCATAATATAAAATTAAAATGATAAACTATGATGTTTTTATCCCAAAATGATCATAAATTTCCTAAAATGGTAAATTACAACGGCTAGCTGAGAAAACTTCAAAAATTGACCTAAAAAGTGATTCCCGTCTATTTATAGTGGCCCAAAATTCACTAACAAAAATGCCCTTCGGGAGATTCTGCGGCCGCATATTGCTTGAGTCTGCAGGTTGATAGATTCTGCAGCCGCATAATTTGATCTGCGGCTGCACTTCAGCTTTTGCGACCGCACAATTCATGTGCGGTCCGCTCTTCTGGCAAGGCTTCAGTCTTGGTCAATTTGCACTCTCTGAACTTTTTGAATTTTTATCAGTCCGACCATGTTCTGCGGCCACACAAATTGTGTACGGTCCGCACTTCTTCTTCAATCACCTCTGGGCTTCTTCATCAAGTCGCGGCCGCAAAAATACTTCTGCGGACCGCACTTTTTGTTTGTTGCGCCCCTTCTTGCCTTGTGAGTCGGTACACTATTTTATGAGTTGGATTTCTTCATTAGAGTCCAAATCTCCAACATTCCTGCAATTTGCACACTTTCATTAGTTTTGAGAACATAAATCAACATTTTCGGACTAAAACTAAAGCAAGAAGGTATTAATAAGTGATCAAAATTCACACTTATCATCTGCCTAAAACGAAAACTTAATTACCAGGTTAAAATGAACATAAGCACCATGGGCATAATATATTTCAATATTCAAACTGGTAGCTACTACAAAGAAGTAGTTGTTATCTTGTAGATTCTTTAAATTGTTTTTAGTTATCCGAGCAAGGCCCTTTCTTTAAACCAAAAAAGAAAGAAAAGAAAAGTTTCCTTCCAACAACTTTGGGGACCTCTTGCTAGAATAAACAATTTTAAATATTTATGTTGGCTTCCTTATAAAAGTAAGCTCTAAACATGCCCATATCAGAATTTTATTAGTCCTCTAATATTTTAATGTATTACTGAGTTCAAATGAGAGCAATCTAAAAATAGTTAAAGATAAATCAAGTGTACCACAAACATATTCACTAAAAACAGAAATAGAAATGACACACCAAGAACCATAATAAGGCCTTTGATGTTTGCGATTTTAAAATTTTGTGACTCCACAGTTTCAAATCTTAACCAGTTTTTATCCTGTTACAACTTCCACAAACAGGTGGACAAACAAATCTCGACTTCCAGCACCCTTTCTAATTGAGTAATTGTTAATTAGTCTCATATTTTCAATACAAAAGCCACCATTAGGACTTGGGATACATAGATCCTTCCCGAGTGTAATAGATACATGTTGGACGACAGACATGTATCTATTACAGCTAGGTCCAAAGTTGTTTGATCCTACGTTATTCATAATTAACACAACATTGAACTTCCTCCAAATGGTGAAATTTCCCCTTAAATGAACTAAGCTATTCGAAAAGTTGAGCCAAGGTAATTCTTTACTTCAAATTATTGAATATTATCGTGTGTAAAACTCGTGTCTCATCTAGTTGAGTACAAAAGAAATAAAAGCCACCTTCAAGAAAGACAACAGAAATGATACAGTAGATATTAATGACAACATTATCAATACCTTGATTGTCCAAGAAGAATAGGAGCTACAGTGGATTCCTTTTATCTGTTCCTCTCCACCGTAGAGGTAAGAATGCAATATGTTGCCATATGAGTGAATCACTTTGCCTTTGAGCACGAGGACTTAACTAAAAATTTGAGACGAAAACTCAACTTCTTCTAGCAAAAATATTTTACAGTATTTGTCAAGGATGCAAAGGACTCACTATTATACTATGTTACCTGGATTCTTCTGTTTGCCTCGATGTACCATCAAACAGTGTGATAAGGGCGCCGGTACTCAAGAAAACATATTGCTTATATCACAATGCATGTACTGCAGAACCCCAAGACATGCTCCAGGCGCAACCATAAGGTTCCCCGCAAACAATAACGTTTCTTCGCCATATGGGCTTCAGAATCAAAGGCAAGGAAAAACCAAAGGGTTCCCCATCCTAAAAGCTCAGCCTTCAATAGACAAAAAGACCAACACATGTATATAATAATTTTCTTTCACTCCAACCAAGTTTAATCGCTAAAAGTATAATCGTAAATTTATATGTTTAGATATACCTTTTCATGTCATAGAAAATAGTACAATGCTGATCAGAAGAGTCTTTAAATCTTTTCTTTGAAATTTTAGAACTATTTATAACCTAGTTGTTAAGAAAATATGATTAGTAAATAAGAGACTATTCTATAACAAGGATATTAATCATCCAAAGCAAAAAGAAATATAAAAAATAATTCTCTAGTAACTTAATAACATTGGAGAAATAAAATAAAACAAAATACGCTCTGGTTATTCTGAGAAACGCATGAAGAACACCCTGAAAGGTTGAGACTAAATATGAACAATAGAGTAAAAATACATCATTTGGTACTATAAGTACGGTAGTTACTGAGGCTCATATGTACCTTATTGTGATAACCCAAAATGTCATCTTTAAATTTAATAAATTAATTCTGTGTTCTAAGACCTCGAAAAGCACTATTTATCATTCCTCGATTTGCGTGTGCAGTACGTAAAATTTTCTGAAAATTTTTATGTGAAAAATGGATTAAAATATGAATTAGAGCTTTAAAACTCAACAGAGTTGACTTTGGTCAACATTTTAAGCAAACGGACTCGGATCAGTGTTTTGACAGTTCCGGTAGGTCCGTATCGTGAATTGGGGCTTGGGCGTATGCCCGGAATCAAATTCCGAGGTCTCTAACCCGAGATATGGAATTTTGATGAAAAATTAAAAGTTTAAGTTCAAATAGTGACCGGATGTCGAATTATGTGCAAACGACCCCAGAATAGAATTTTGATGATTCCAACAGCTCTGTATGGTGATTTTGGACTTAGGAGCGTGATCAGAATTTTATTTGAAAGTCCGTAGTGGAATTAGGCTTGAAATGCCGAAAGTTGAATTTTTGGGAAGTTTGACCGAGGGGTTGACTTTTTGATATCGGGGTCGAAATCCGATTCTGAAAATTTGAGTACCTCCGTTATGTCATTTATGATTTATGCGCAAAATTCGAGGTAAATCGGACGTGATTTGGTAGGTTCCAGAGTCATTTGTAGAAATTAGAAATTTCAAAATTCGTTAAGCTTGAATCTATGTGTGATTCGTGTTTTAGTGTTGTTGGATGTGATTTGAAGGCTCGACTAAGTTCGTATGATGTTTTAGGACTTGTTGGTACATTTGGTTGAGATCCCGGGGGCCTCGGGTGAGTTTCGGATGGTTAACGGATCAAATTCGGACTTAGAATAAATAGCTGAAGTTTCTGCCCTCTGTTGCATTCGCACCTGCGGAAATTCTATCGCAGGTGCGAGCTCGCAGAAGCGAGCCTGGCAAGCGCAGATGCGCAACTGAACTATGGGGCAATGGTAGCAGGTGCGAGGGAAATTCCACACCTGCGTGAGCGCAGATGCGGAGGGACGCGCGCAGAAGCGGCCTGCGCAGGAGGGCAAACAGGCGCGCAGATGCGGGCAAAGGCGCAGATGCGGGACATTTTTCCGCACATGCGGTTGGCGCAGAAGCGGCCAAGTTGCCGCAGATGGGAAAATCCCTGGACAGTACAAAAACAGAGGGGTTCCGAGCTTTTGCCATTTTTTGGGCATTTCAAGCTCGAGTTGGGCGATTTTGAGCAAGGTTTTTACGGAAAAACTTGAGGTAAGTCCCTTATGATCATTTCTACTCCATAATATTGAATTATCATCATATATTTCGAATAGATTACATGTTTTCGAGGTGAAATTAGAGAATTTGGGCCCAGGGATTTTAAAATAAGAATTTGAGATTTGGAGGTCAAGTTGATGTCGGATTTTTGTAAAAATGGTATGGTTGGACTCGTAGTTGAATGGGCGTTCATATTTCGTAACTTTCGCCGGATTCCGAGACGTGGGCCCCACGGGCCATTTTTGAGTTAATTTCGGATATTATTGAAAAATATAGTAATTTCTTATAGAATTGATTCTATAATTTTTGTTGACTGTATCGAATTAATTATGACTAGATACGAGTCGATCGGAATCGGAAAATCGAGGAAAAAGCATACTACTTGATTAAATTGGAGCAAGTCGAGGTGTGTGGAAAATTTTTTTCCTAGAATTGATATTAATGTGATTATTGAAATGTGTTGAAAGTCGTGTACACAAGGTGACGAGTGTGTACACGGGCTAAATGTGAAAGATTATATTTTTAAATTGCGTAGGTCATTGTTATGCATTTATTAAATTATTTTATCTTGTTATATTCTTCATCATTGATCTGAGATATATACCTTAAATTTGTTTGACCTTTTCCTGCTAATTGTTTTACCTGTTTAGTTGAAACTTGATTTCTTTTATTCTGTGCATTATTTGAAATTGATTTTCTTTAAATTAAATATTATTAATATGAAGTATTTGACATTTTTAAATTTGGTATTGAAGCAACGTATTAAACTTTTTGAAATATTATTTTGCTAAATTATTTATTTTCTAATATTTTTGTAAGATTTTTGTACTCATGGTGATGGAGCCGTGAGCTCTTTATTGTGAAAAAATATTATTGATGATTTATGTTGGCATGAGCCGTGAGCTCTTTATTGTGGAAAAATATTGTTGTTGATTTACTTTGGCAAATTGAAATATTTGGGCACTTGAGGTGCAAATTGTGATATGTTGTGATATTGATACGCATGCGGTGGTATAAGGTCTGGGTATTGAAACGCATGTGGTGAGATAAGGGTGGCTTGATACGCGTGGCTGGTAGGGGGAACTACTAGAAGTCATGCGGTGTGATAAGGATGGCTAAAACGCGGGATGCTATTTCGGGAAAAATATTTTCTTTATAATGAATTGTGAACGCTCCCGCGGTGAGATAAGTAAATGAGATATTGTGAATTTATTTATGATTTGGGACTACGAGGCGGTACCTCGGTAGTGCCCTTGTTGATATTGATTTATGGCCATAGTTGCCTTCGATTAATTGTTGTGATTTTCATAAAGTTGAAAGGAATTCTGTTTTGATCCACGAGATATTATTTGCAATTATTTGGTGTCATTAAATGTGACATACTATTTGATTCATTTGCATAGTCATTTTATCTTATTAAATTGTTTAAACATTTTTCCATGTCAATATTTATTCTCCAGTAGGGCCTAACCTGACCTCGTCACTACTCTACTGAGGTTAGGCTTGGCACTTACTGGGTACCGCTGTGGTGTACTCATACTACGCTTCTGCACATCTTTTTGTGCAGATCCAGGTACATCTTACAAGTCTAGACGTCAGTGAGTTACCTGCGCACGGAGACTTCGAGGTATATCTGTCAACGTCCGCAGACTCCGTAGTCCTCTTCTATTATTTTATGTTGCTTCCTTATTTTTCTTTAGACCTTGATACATAGAAACATTGAGAATAAATTTTTTAGAAGCTTGTGACTTATTTCTACCGGGTTTTGGGAGTGGTAATTATTTGAATTGTAGTTTATTTATTTCAGATATTTATGATTATTTCGCATTGTTAGGCTTACCTAGTCTCTAAGACTAGGTATCATCACGACCTCCTACGGAGGAAATTTGGGGTCGTGTCACTTACACAATGATCATTTTATGATTATAGTATCAAGTGATTGAGAGGTAAATTCTTTACCTATGCCACATAAAAGTAACAGCACAAACACCTCAGCAACCAGTAGGATTATATAACAAATAAATGACAGGCACAAAAACCTCAATAAACAATTAAGGAACCAGAAGGAACGCAAAATAGGTTGCTAACAAAAATATTGACAGTTCCTGGTCAAGGTGAATGCAACTCTCGTCAACTCTTATACCCTTACAGTGACATAATGCCAACCAAGCAATAAATGAATGTTAAAATATAAGACGCGAGCATAACCTAAAATCATATTTGTATTTTTTATTTTTTCCATCATTAATAGGTCCATCTGGTGTTGTCGCAGCAAGATCATAAAATTTCATATTACCTTCTGGACGATTAACGTTCTCTTTTCACAAGTATTTGTAAATGTTCAAAAATCGAATCAGAGCAGTGTGACATGGACATGGACAATTTGTCAGTGTCAGTTCAAACCTTTGTTGAAGGTGTGCTTTCAACGCGAATTTGAGATTTCCATGAACATATGGCTTTCGTCAGTTTCAGACAATCACAGTTGTCTCAAATGATGCAAAAGATTTTCTTTACAAGAGGCTCATCAGTTCCAAACACTCCTAGCCGTCTCAAATGATGCCAAAAAAAAAAATTCAACATATTGATGGCAACAATTTCAAGTTTAATTGCTCTCTTAGATATATTAGGAAGTAAAGGACATCGAAAAAATAGGAAGGAAAAGATATGTTTAAGTACAACTCAAGCGTACCTTCGGTTATTTTGCCTCCAACAAGATGAATAATGCTAATAACCAGAAAAGTAAGATCAATAGCATCTGATTTGTTTTCTTTCGAAAGTAGAAACATTCTCCTTTAACATATCTACAGGTAGAAGACATGTGAGATTATATGCATTTTCATCAGCTGCCACTATTTATCCATCATGAAAAAGTCAATATTGGTAATACACAATCAGATAAAACAATATTCAACCTATGGTTACAAAAAGATTAATATAATAACACTAAATGAACTACCTGATATGTATAATAGCATTTCCTATCGTCAATTTGAACACTACTAATACATTCCTTGCAACTGTAGTGTATTATTGCAGATAATCAGTTGATATAAGAAGCAAATATCCAAATGCACCCAACTACAATAAAATGATTCAGGCATATCATCAAACACATATGATAAATTATTAATAATTACACTTAAAAGAACATCAAAGAAAAGAGGCATATGATCAATCGGAGATCGAGACAAACCTTGTGTGGGTTGAGTTTGGCCAAAAAAATCAGAAATTTGATACTTCAGTATTTCTCTAAGCCGGATTAATTTCACAATAATTAGTTTGTACAAAGGAGAAAATTAAAAAAATAAAATAAAGATATAGTAACCAAAATCATACACTGCAGAATCTATTTCTAGACATGCATGTGCATATCAGATAAAATTAGTGAAATGCATATAAACATAGCCAAAAAATATCAACAAACAAGTACAATAAGCAAAAATTAATTGGACAAAACCTTACCAGAACTGCGAGGCGAGACAATAGCAAATTAGAACCAAAAAAGAGAATCTTTGAAAAGAAATCCACAAAATGGATTAACTTTGAAGGAAATCCAGTGAAGACTACAAAGTTGTAGAAATTTAAAATGGCAGAGAAAGTACAGGGGAGTGAGAAAACGACAGCAAAATTGTGTGACTGAGATAGACTTCTGAAAATGAAAAACAGACTTCTGGGGTACCACTTTGTATTGATCCATATAAGTAGTATATATATATATATNAGAATTTTTAATTTTTTTAAAATTAAACCTTTTAATCCACAATATTATTTAAAAATCTTTTACCTTCCATTTGTCTTAAATTATCTCTGCAAACCACGATTGACACTCACGATTGAAATCCACTATACTCGGTAACAACCGCTCAAAACTACATGTTTATATTTCTTTCACTGATACACGTATTTCAATTCTAATTTTTCTACTGCTATCAAGATTTAAAGAAAACATACGGCTTATGCAAAAAATGGCTACTCACATTGATTTCATCAAGGATGTAACAATTTCGAAGATGCAATGCAAGTTGAAAGTTCGGGTTGTCCGTCTGCGGGAAGTACCAAATCGTTTTAATTCAGACACTACATTCTCGATTGAATTGGTTCTACAAGATGAAAAGGTATTAAAAATAAGTTATTTTCTTACTCATTCGTTTTGCTCTGTTTCTTAAGTTGCAAATTTAAATTTGATGCTTTATGTGTTTGAGTTAGTAATTAGTGATATGACATAATTACTGGTCATCCTATATGTGGTCATTACAGAGACCAACTCTACTCTCTGTAATTCAATCGAGAACTACAGAGAGTTTTAAGGTTATACAATAACTGGAAGGCATTTAATAATCCAATTTCTCCAGATATGTTTTGAAAAGATATTCAATGTAAATTGAAAGTATATCACATGGTAATAATATGTTTTACCTTTTCTGTTTTTTAATGTTATGAAGTTGGAAATCGAGTTTCTCCATATTGTGCATTACATGTTCTACTTTTTTTGTTTTTAATGTGATGAAGTTGAAAATCTGGAGTTTTTGCTCTGTTTTTTTGACTATTTAATTCTCTACTGTTGAAAAGTAATTTTACTACAATTTAGTATTAGTATAATTTCAAGTATTCAAGTATAGTAATATAAATTTGAAAAGTTAAATCTGGAATTATTGTATTACTAAGTCCTTTAAAAACCTTCTGTTATTTAATAAATTTGAAAAGTTAATCTGGAATTATTGTATTACTAAGTCCTTCAAACACTTTATGTTATTTAATATAATTTCTTTGTAGGGCGATCAGATACATGCTTCTATTGGCAAGTCAGTTTTGCATCTTTTCAAAACTCAAATTAATGAGCTAGGATTATATCATATGGCGAACTTTATCGTTTATCATAATAAGGAGAAGTTCAACACCACAAAACATAGGTTGAGGATGACGTTTACTCAACGGACAACCGTGGCTGAAATAACTGATCCACTTTTCCCAATGAATATCTTTGATTTGCGACCATATGATCAATTGATAAATAAGATTGATGTGAACAAGACTGAATTATTCGATAAAAATAACTTTTACCTTAAATTTCTAATTATGAACTTTTCTATTATTTATTTTAACGAATACTTTTTCTTTAGATGTGATCGGAGAAATCGTCGGTTTTAGTGAAGTACACATGCACAAACAAGGTGAAATTTCTAGGAAGTTTATGGATATTGAACTACAAGATAATGAGTAAGAATAAACATTCATCTACTAATTAATGATGGGTTTGATAATTACATATGCTAAAATTATATTTTTATTTCTATGTGGCAGGAGGAAGAAGTTGTCTGCTACATTCTGGGGCGAGTTTATTGATGAAATTATACCTCACATGCTAAGTTCTAACAACCAGCCTATTATTGTTGTGATGCAGCTCATAAAAGCCTATAAATTTTAAGGCAGAATACAATTATTCAATTTGACATTACTGTGTGAAAGTTATTCATTATGTCTTACACGTACGTTGTTTTGTAGATTCAAATTCTGTGCGCAATACTTGGAATGCATCAAAGCTGTGGATTAATCCAAATTTTCCTCAATCTGATGAGTTTAAAACACGGTTCAATATATACATTTATATAAAATAAAAAAATTCACTGCATCTAGACTCAAATAAATTTTTCCAACTATACATCTAACTGTTTTAGTCATTCATAAATACAGATTACTTTCTGTTCGGGATAATTACTCTGAGAGGCTGACTCAAACCATTTCTCAACAAAGTTACTCTGTCGCGGATGAATTAGAGAAAGGCATTGTTCAAGTTAAAACAATTGGCCAATTAGTGGAGTCCATGCAAGTGAGTGAACTATCTTGTGTAGTATTAATTTAACCGGTTTTTCATGTTAATAGTTGGAAAAATACACATCTTTGTTTCTCTTATTTTATGGTTTGAAAAAGTGGTTGAGCATTTAGATAGCTACGCTGAAAATTGAAGTTTCAAGTTTATTTTTTGCCTTTGGTTCTCTTATTGTATAGTTTGAAAAAGTGGTTGAGCATTTAAAATATGAAAAGTTCTTACAATACATTTATCTTCTTTCTTTGATATTCTGAAAAAACATCTTTTCTAGGTCTTTACATTACATTTCAAGTTTATTTTTGGCCTTTGCTTCTCTTATATTGTGGTTTGAAAAAGTGATTGACCATTTAGAATATGAAAAGTTCTTACATTACATTTATCTTTTTTCTTTGATAAACAAAATAAACAAAAAACAACAAACAACAAACAAACAAACAATGCACCTACACTGTAAGCTTAAACTAAGGAAAGACAGAATATACCTTTCTGCTATGTAACAAAGCAGTGCAACAAATTGATATCAACTAATTCGCCTTACCTGCGAACAACGGCATGTCGGTTCAGTTCCTCAAAATCACAATCCATATCAGAGAGGTCCCCATCATTCCTCATGTCAATGACTCGCCACATGGACCATATTTTCTATGTCTTTACATTACATTTCAAGTTTATTTTTGGCCTTTTGTTCTCTTATTTTATGATTTGAATAACTGGTTGATCAATTAGAATATGAAAAGTTCTTGCAATACATTTATATTATTTCTTTGATATTCTGATAGACAATCTTTTCTTTATCTTTTCATTACATTTGTCTTATCAATTTATTCAACAGGAAGGTCCCTGTTGGATTATTGCAAGTATTGAAAATTTAGATCTTGAAAAAGGGTGATCGTATGTCGGCTGTAAGAAGTGTCAAAAGAAGGTGGATAAAGTGGGAAACATTTATCTTTGCCCAAACCAAAAATGTAAAAATGAAGATTACTCGGCGGTGAAAAGGTAATAACAAAAGCTCTATTTCCTTAATGCATCAAAATGTACATTTATATCTCAAATCCCATGTGTATTTAGGTACAGGCTTCAGGATACAACTGGATCTGTTTCGTTGTTGCTCTGGGACCGCGAAGCCATGTTTCTCATAGGCAAGTCCGCAAATGAATTGAAGGAAGTATTACGTGAGGTATATCAACTAATTATATTCATATTTGTTATTTGGAACATTCTAACGCGGAATTTCATTCTAGAATACTGGCGCTGTTGATAAGTGTTCTTATCCAGTGGACTTGAACAATATTCTTGAGAGGAAATTCATGTTTAAGGTTATTATCAAGAGGTTGAACATTCAATTGCAAGGTGAAGTTTACAGTGTTGTTAAGCTTACAAATGACGAGCAATTGATAAACAAATATAGTCCTGCTCCACATTCAGATGCCTTCAATGTATGTGATTTTCGCTTACAAACTTCACAACATTTTTAAATTGTGAGTTTCTGTTAAATTGCATATTTTGTAGTATAATTTCAAACTCATTTTTTTAATTTTTTGATAGGACCCTGACTTCAATACTAACCAAAGCTTAGATGGAGAGAAGGAATGCGAGGTAAATACATAACTTTTAATTTGTCCGTTAACATTAAAGCTACTTACATATCTGGAAGGATTTCTTTCTGAATAAATTTTCAGATCTGGAGTAGTTTTTTTATAACTTTAAAAGTTCTTAACGATCATTTTGTTTATTCTATAGGAAGCTACGAACACACTATTAATATTTTTTCAGATTATTCATTCTTTTGATTAAATTATTTGTAGGGCATAAATTAATAAAGTTATAGTAACTATAAGTTCATTGCTGATTTGCACTATTTTTTGTATTTTATATATACAGGATTCCACTGAAGATAACGACTTAATCGATATTGCAAATACACCTGCCAAGATAGGTGTAACTAATGCCGCAACAATGGTTGAAGAAGATCCGAATGCACAGTTGTCGGGAAATAAAATCAAGAGAGTATTTAAGAAGAAGAAAACATCATAAGGTGTTAATGTAACAGTTGGAGAATCCAAGAACTGTTTGATTAGTTACTTTAGTATATTATTAGTAGTCTTATTAGTTATGAACAGTATATTTGAATCATTTCACCTTTCTTCTCCTGTTTAACTTTTCAGTTTTACTTAATGTGGAGATTTCAATGGACAAGATATTTGAAACTTTTCATGGTTCTTTCTGTTATTAATGTTTTCCTATTCATATAGATAAGACAGTCCATTCATTTTTACTTCTCCAATTTAATTGTTAATTAGTGAAGAGGCTACTTGGCATTGTTGGTTACTTTTTGCCTCATCTCACTGTTACATTGGTTCTATATATAGTCAAGCATTTGTTTTTTTCATTCGTGGTTGATATATTTCTCCATCAAGCTATCTACATTAATGTGAAGGTGAACTTTGTTGTTTTATTGCAGCTTTGAATTTATACAGATTTCAAAGCTATCTCATACTGCTGATATAAGTCAATAAATGAAACTAGCATGGCAATTTCTAGCTGCAACAAGAGAATGATAGAGTTTGACTACTTTTTTTAAATTCTTTCAACAGTTGGTTGATGCTTTTGTTCGCAAGGAAGTCAAGAATTGATGCAATGAGTGAACACGAATAGCCTTGAGACACGGATTAAATACTTCAGCAACTACATAAATTATGATATGTTTACTTATTATTTCAGCTCTTAAAGTCTAAATAATTTGATTTCCTTTTATACTTTCTCTGTTGGTTGGATACCTATGTCTTCATCGTATCAAACCTTTAAAGCAAATTCATTAGCCCACTAATTATTAAAGGGGAAAGTTGGAATTTTACTTTATTTGTATTGCTGTTATGAGTTTGCTTTGTTAATAATCTCTGCTACAAATCAATATCATATCTGGTTTTTGGGTATTGCTTGCTAAACCAGATATGTTGGACAGGTGCAGAACAAGTCGGACAGACGTAAGTTGTACAATTGTCAACACCTCTACGATGCAACTCTCCAGAACAACACCTTTATCGTACAAAAAATGGTTCTTTTCTTTTATTCTCTTTTTTTCATTGTGCTGTGAGCTGGTGATTGTCCATGGACGCAAAATATTTTTGGGTGTAATTTTATCGTTATAATGCATTTTATTTTTGAAATTCAGATGTTGTTGATGGCTCAAGCGAGAGTGTATTTAAGAATAGTGAATCAGACTCTTTGTCTCTCATTCCAATCACCATTTAATTACTACAGCAAAGTCATTGAACTTTAATTGGTGAACTAGGTGAATCTTTTTTTTGGGGTAACCATGTAAGTTGGACAGATAAAGGACAAGTCGGACATACTAGGTCAATTCGGACAGGCTCAAGATAAGCGGACAAGTACAGGACAAATCGAAAACACGTCAATTCATATAGGCTCAGGATAAGTCGGACAAAGGCAGAACATGCTAAAAATTCAAAATCGACTATTTGCGTATCAATGAGATCTTAATACATTAAATTCAGAGTTTTACATTCGTTGCTTCATATAAAGGACAAGTCGGACAAGGACAGTTACCAATATATTTACCAAAGTAATGGTCCTTCCTAATGACTGTTCATTAGTCAATTAATCACATATAAGAGTACTGACCACGAATGATGAAGCAATACTATTAGCTGGTAGCTTATTAATTTTGTCAAACAATTGTTATTGACCAAGTTGTTCAACGCTTTCAGTTAATGAACTGTGTCAGAATGTTGATATTGGCCATTCTAATTCGGTTACTCAATTATGTGACTTCACTTGGGAACCCCGAAGATGTTCAGGAATAGTCATAAAAGACATACTTTTCATCAAGTTATTAGTTTCAAATTTGGGTTTAAAATTTCTTTTGTTTGACTGAAATTTGGAGTTGCATAACATTCGATGATTGAATTGTTTCTGAATTTAGTGGGATTGAATTTACTTGTGAAACCTTAATTTGAAAATTGGGATATATTTCGTGAGGGATAAAAGAGATCAAGAGAATCCGTATTCTTTAGAGCAGCTTAACGTACTCTCTGAATAGTCCATTATTGGTGATGAAAAGCTTGGACACATTTAGTACTGGCATTATCTCTGAATCATTTTGATGTTAAAGTTCTCTGCAAAAAGAAGAAATTAATAATATTTGGCGATACATAATGTAGAACGAGTCTCTCCATATTAATGAGTTCAAAATAACATAACATTATTTTATAGTAGTATCAATCCTAATTTTTCAAAAGAAAACATTTGAGTTTTGTTCATCGAACAGGGAATTTTTTTTTTCTGCCTAAAATAAAGTTTCTAGGTGAGAATATCAAAATCCAAAATTATATATTTTAGCCACAAAGGAATGTGTTATGATATTATACGACAACATATGATCTAGAATTTCTTTTCAATATATTATTATAAAAAATATGGAAGAACATATTATGCATAAACACTACAAACGTACTCTTAAAGGAAAAAATAAAAATCTTCGTCGCTTTTAATTGATAAAGAAGATAAAGAGGATTTTGGTTTTTCATGTGCTACATAATCAAACATATATCACAAGCATCATATTAAATATATAAAAACATATATCTTCAGGTACATATTCATATTCTAAAATTCCAATGTCGCACACAGTAGGGAATTAAAGTCTAATGCTATTACCCCATATATATCACGGGTGCCGTATTAAAAATATAAGATAAAGAAAATAATACATAAACCTTACAAAAAAACTCTTGCAGGCAAAACTCACAACCTGCTTTGCCTTTAAAATATTCACCCATGGAGACGACTTTTGTCTCTCATATGACTAAAGCTAAATCCTAAATGTTGTTCTATCACAAATTAGTTTTTCCTATGTGTCATATTTTAAACTACGTCCTTTCCTCACCAGATGTTTTCCAATGGATAACTATATTTCCTTATGACTTGAATGTATGAATATCCAGTACATTCAATGATTCATAAAATAATTGCATTTTAATACTCCTTTGTTTCTATCGTATTTTTTAAAAAAATATTTTTTTATATTATCCGCGCATTGCGCGGGTACGTATACTAATATATATGAAGACACGTGGTTTTAAGGAAAAGAACGAAGAAAGTTGTAACGACCCGACTGGTCGTTTTAATAACTAGCGTCTCGTTAGGTGGCTTAAGGTCTCAAGCAGTTTCGTGTTATTTATTATGACTTGCGTGTGGAGTCGGATTCGGTTTCCGGATGATTCAGGATTGATTTGGAAGGGTGATTCTTGTTTTAAAAGCTTAAGCAGTAAGAGTTGACTTGAGTTTGACTTTTATGTAGTCGACTTTGGAATGATGTTTTGATGATTCCAATAGTTTTGTATGGTGATTTTGGACTTAGGCGTGTGTCCGTATTTGGATTTGGAGGTCCGTAGGTTAAGTTGATGCAATTTGATGAAAATTAGAAAGTTAAAGGTTTGGAAGGTTGAGAGGTTTGACCGGGAGTTGACTTTTTTTATATCGGATTCGGATTTTAATTTCGGGAGTTGGTATAGCTCAATTGTGTCATTTGGAACTTTCACGCAAAATTTGACGTCATTCCGGGTTGATCTGATATGTTTCGGTACGAGTTGTAGATGTTGAAAGTTCTTAAGTTCACTAAGTTTGATTTGAGGCGCGATTCATAATTTTGATATTGTTTGATATGATTTGAGGCCTCGATCAGGTCCGCGTTAAGTTATGTAACTTTTTGGTATGTTTGGACGGGGTCCCGAGGGCTCCGGGTGTGCTTCGTACGAGTTTCGGATCATTTTTGGTCATGATGGCAGTTTTGGTGCTCGTTCTTCGCACGTGCGCATATTTGGTCGCATGTGTAGACGCACTTATGCGTTGGATTTTTTGCTTCTGTGAACCAGAGGAATCTTGGTGAGTTCCGCTTCTGCGGAGGAATAAGCGCAGATGCACAAGCGCTTTTGCGGGTTAGGGATCGCTTCGGCGAGAAAGGGGTGCGAGCTGGGTATCCGCTTCTGCGGTGAGACTGGCACTTCTGCGGAGTCGCAGGTAGGGAAAATTCTGTGCGGGTGCGGTCGTGGTTCTTTAAGTTGATGTAGCAGATGTGACGTTATGGCTCACAAATGCGAGGCCGCAGGTGTGACATTTTGTCTGCAAATGCGAAAAAGGCTGGACAAAAGCATATATTTCGAGGGTTTGATGATTTATTCACTTTTTGAGTTAGAGGCCTCGGGTTTAGGCAATATTTGAGGGGTTCTTCACGTGTTTAATTGTAGTAAATGTTCTTTATCCGGATTTAATTATATTTTGTGATTCCATCTTTGCTTTTAATACTAAATTAGTGAATTGAATGCGAGAAAATGAGAATTTTTGTAAAAACTTTCAAAAATATAAAATGAGGATTTGAAGGACGATTTGATGTCGGAATTGGTTAATTTTGTTATGGTTGAAAAAATTATGGTTGGACTCATGTCGGAATGGGTGATCGGATTTTATGAATTTTGTCGGGTTCTGAGGTGTGGGCCCGGGGTTGACTTTTTATTTTTATATTAAAGATCGAAGCTTTACTATTCGAAATTATTTCCTATGGTTTTTATTTATGATATTAAGTTATTTTGGCTAGATTTGACCCATCCGGAGGTTGTTTCACAAGAGAAGGTCATTTTAGAGTATCAGTTTAGCTTCTTTGAGGTAAGTATCTTGCCTAACTTCGTGTGGAAAAACTACCCCTTAGGATTTGAGTCGTTTGTGCTATTTGTGTCATGTGAAAGCTGTGTACGCGAGGTGATGAGTACGTCCTCGAGCGTATATGTGTAAAATTGACCGGTTAGACTCTTAGGCTTCTTTCATGTATTTATTTGAAATTGTTAGCATATGTTGTACTTTTTATTCGTCATGTCTATTATCAGATGCTTTATTTGAAGTTGTCATTACATGTCACATTCTTTACTTGTCGAGTTACTCTTATATGCTTTATATAAAGTTGATATCACTTTTATCATTATATGATTTCTTTTTTGTGGAGTTATTCTTCGTTGAAATTGTTGTACATGATATCCCTTTTGTTGCCGGGTTATTCTCATGCATTTAGATGTAGTACTAGTGCGTGCCATCTATTTCATTGTTAGCCTAATTCATACACTAGGAGCCAAAGTTTACCATTACATGGAAATACTTTCACTATTGAGTTTAT